GGGGAGGGAGAGGATGGAAGGGGGGAAGGAGCGGAGAGGCGGGAGAGGAGGGGCGGCGAAGTTAAGGAAAACACAAGGTTACACGGATCCGTCCCAACGTGGCTAAGCTTGGGGGGAAGCGAGGGGGAGGGGGAGGAATTCAAAAGGCGTTGCGCGGCACGTGGAAGGGTTTTTTTGGCGGGGGAGTTAGGGTGGTGCAATGTTTCTTCCTTGCTTTCCAGAGCCCTATACACAGACAGACAAACAGACCGGCAGACATGGTATGATGTTGCTGCACTCAATGCCACTTCTGCTTGAAAAGTACACATACACAGACAGACAGACAGACAGATACACGCTCTCACACACTAATCCTAGGAGCTCTCTTTTCCTTTCCCCATCTTTCCCCATCTCTTTTCTTTTTCTTTTCCCATCTCGGTTTGTGAAGGAGGCTAAGCTCGCTGTTGTGTTGGCTGGGGCGGTGGGCGCCAGCGCAGCTGACGTGGAAAGGGCCAAGCAGTGGAGATCCCTGAACTCCACATGCAGTGGGGTGTTCCACGAGGTCATGTACGAGGTACGAGATGTGTATGTACGACAGAGGCACGATAATATAGGGGCCTTGTGCCCCTTCAAAACTTCTTTCCCCGGGCTCCTCAGCTTTACTACGCAGCCCCCCATATGTGTATACAGTATGTATAGTATACATACTGTACATATACATGTATGTATGTATACTTATACTACGTATATATACTATTTAAGTATACTTACATATACTACATATACGTATATACGTATATACACATACGTATAGGTTTACTTACATACATATGTACACTTACGTGGACAAGGAAATGCTCACGTGTAAGATTTTCATAGAGAGAAACACACATACATACATACATACATACATACATACATACATACATACATACATACATACATACATACATGCACATACACAATCTCCCGTGCTCGCTCTCCGGTTTACCCGGGCCCGCACCCTCCCTCTCCCCCTCTACCCCACTTCCTCCCCGCCCGCCCCGTAGGTCCTGTTCAGGAAGTACCTCCGCGACCCGCAGCTAGCTGACCCGCGCCCACCACCCCTCACCCTGGAGGAGGTGAGGGCGTGTGTGTATATGTGTGTATATGGGTTTGTGAGTATGGGTTTGTAAATATGGGTTTGTGTATATGCTTGTGTACATGCTTGTGTATATGCTTGTGTATGTGTTTGTGTATGTGTTTGTGTATGTGTTTGTGTATGTGCTTGTGTATGGGTGTAAATATGTGTATATGTGTGTATGGTTGATATGTGTGATGTGGGTGATATGGGTGATCGAGTAGTGCATTATGCACCCCAACAAACACCGTAGTACGCCAATACCCCCACACACACCCCGCCTCACGCCCCCTCCTGCCCCCTTCCCCCGGCCAGGTCAATGGCGCCATGGACGAGCTGGTGGCCAGGTCGGGCAACAGCCCCTCCCAGCAGGC